CAATGGGCTTAGATGAAGACATGCCAAACCTCGCCAAGACCTTCTGAATGTAGCTTCTCTGGGACAAGAAAAGTTTCCTTCTCTCTCTGTCTCTAATGATCTCCATCCCTAAAATCTTCCGAGCGGCTCCCAGATCCTTCATCTCAAACTCAGCACTAAGTAAACCCTTCAGCTTCTGAATGTCATACTTCTTCTTTGCAGCTATCAACATATCATCTACATAAAGCACCAGATAGATGAATGAATCATCATTGAGCCTATTGTAGTAGACACAACAATCATATGAGCTCCGAGTATAGCCCAACTTCACCATATAGCTGTCAAACCTTTTATACCACTGCCTTGGAGACTGCTTAAGTCCATATAAGGACTTCTTCAACTTGCAGACGTGATTTTCCTTCCCTGGAACTTGGAAACCATCCGGCTGAGTCATGTATATCTCTTCCTCCAACTCTCCATGTAGAAACGCTGTCTTCACATCAAGTTGTTCAAGCTCCAGATTCTGATGTGCAACTATCGCTAGTAACACTCGGATGGAAGTATGTCTGACCACTAGTGAGAAGATCTCATTGTAGTCCACTCCCTCTCTTTGGTTGAAACCTCTGGCAACAACCCTGGCTTTATACTTGACTCCTTCTGCTGGTGATATCCCTTCCTTCTTCTTGAAAACCCATTTGCAAGTAATAATCTTTCTCCCCGAAGGCTGTATGACCAGATCCCATGTCTGATTCTTGTGTAGGGACTCCATCTCATCTCCCATAGCGGCAAACCATTTTTCAGAATCAGAACTTAAAATGGCTTATTTGTAAGTAGACGGTTCATATGTATCTACCTCTTCAGCAACCTGCAATGCATAACCCACCATGTCCTCAAAACCATACTTCGTAGGTGGCCGAACTCCAACCCTCCTTGGCCGATCTTGAGCTATACTCTGATGGATATCTGATGGCATAGATTCTGGAATATCGGTTTCTGTCTGTGGCTCTTGATCCTCCTCTTCAGGTTCCTTTAAATCGCTCTCGTTCTGAATGACTTGAAACTCCACCTGTTTGTCAAGACTCCCAGTTTCTGACGTAGTTGTAGGCTTCACAATGGTTCTAAGCAGAGAACTTTCATCAAAGACAAAGTTCCTGCTCATAAATAACCCTCTTTTCTGCTGGAGACCAGATTCTGAAACCTTTCACTCCATCTCCGTAGCCCACAAATACTCCCTTTTTAGCTCTTGGTTCTAACTTACCTTCACTGACGTGATAGTAAGCCGTACAACCAAAAGCTTTCAGATTTGAATAATCAGCAGCTTTTCCTCACCACATCTCCATAGGTGTCTTGCACTGTATGCCTGTATGTGGTCCGCGGTTAATCAAGTAGCAAGCTGTACTAACCGCTTCTGCCCAGAATCTTCTATCTAGCCCAGCATTAAAGAGCATGCACCTTGCTCTCTCCAGAAGTGTTTGATTCATCCGCTCAACTACACCGTTCTGCTGTGGTGTATTTCTGACTGTACGATGTCGAGCAATCCCTTCATCCTTACAGAATTGATCAAATTCAGACCAACAGAATTCCAGCCCATTATCAGTTCGCAACCTCTTGATCTTCTTCCCTGTTTGATTTTCCATCAAAATTTTCCACTCCTTGAACTTCTGGAAGGCTTCACTTTTATGCTTCATCATGTACACCCAAGTCATCCTTGAGTAGTCATCAATAATGGACACAAAAAATCTGCAGCCTCCCAAAGACTCAACACGGCATGGACCCCAGCAATCAGAATGGATATAATCAAGTGTGCCTTTTGTTCTATGAATGGCCTTTGGAAACTTGTTGCGATGTAGTTTTCCAAAAACACAATGTTCATAAAACTCTAGGCTCTTAACCTTATGACCAGCAAGTAAATCCTCCTTTGACAGAATTTGCATCCCACTTTCACCCATATGACCAAGTCTCATGTGCCATAACTTAGTCATATCCTTCTGGTGAAATTCTGACGATGCAACATGGGCTGAACCTGTAACCGTGGAACCTTGTAGAAAATACAAAGTACCACGCATGACACCTTTCAGAATCAAATTTGAACCCTTCCAGACCCGCAAGACTCCATCTTTTCCCGACCAGCTGAATCCCTTGCTGTCCAAAAGACTGAGAGATATCAGATTTTTCGTCATCAATGGAACGTGCCTGACCTCGTTCAATGTGCAGAAGCTACCGTCATGTGTCCTTATCTTGATTGAGCCTGTCCCAACCACCTTGCAGACAGAACTGTTGGCCATCGAGATGCTGCCTCCGTCTACCTGCTCATAAGTTGTGAACCACTCTCTCCTAGGACAGATGTGATAGGATGCCCCAGAATCAAGAACCCACACATCTGAATGATGAGTGTGCTCATCCGCAACTAGGGCAATATCTTCTTCAGAATTGGTGTCTTCTTCAGCAACAGCAGCAGACACTGATTGTTTTTCCGATTGCTTCTTCTTCTTCGGACAATCAAATTTCCAATGTCCCTTCTCCTTGCAGTAATTACAAACATCATCCGGCTTTGCACCCTTCGACATCGGCTTATTTTTCTTTCCGCCGTTTTTCCTTCCCTTTCCGCTACTGGTGAACAGACCGGAAGGCTGTATGTCCGTACTTGTGCCGTTAGCCTTATGCCGTAATTCCCTGCTATGAAGGGCCGATCTGACTTCTTCCAGTGACACAGTATCTTTTCCAACAATGAACGATTGAACAAAATTCTCAAACGACATTGGGAGAGATACTAACAGAATCAGGGCAGCATCTTCATCCTCGATCTTCACATCGATATTACACAATTCTAATAACAAAGTATTCAATTGCTCTAAGTGTTCCCTGAGTTGTGTACCTTCAGCCATTCGTAAACCGAATAGACGTTGTTTCAGAAGCAGCTTGTTGGTTAGAGATTTTGTCATGTACAAACTCTCCAGCTTCAACCACAGACCAGCAGCAGTCTCTTCATCCGAGACCTCCGTGATGACGTCATCCGCGAGACACAGCATGATCGTCGAGTGCGCCTTTTCCTCCAGAATCGCCATCTCAGGAGTAACGACGGCGTTCTTGTCTTTCGACAACGGCGCCCAGAAGCCTTGCTGTTTCAACAAAGCCCACATCTTGATCTGCCATAAACTGAAACTGTTCCTCCCTATGAATTTGTCGATTTTCACGTTCAAAGCAGACATCTCAAATTCTCCAAAGAACACCGATTAACCGAGAGGCTCTGATACCAATTTGTTGTGCGAAATTTGAGATAATACGAGAAAATATATAAACGCAAAAAACAAGACAACAGATTTACGTGGTTCACCAATAAATTGGCTACATCCACGGGAAGAGAGGGAGCAGTTTTATTATGGAGAGGCAAAAAACAGAATTACAGAATAGGGTTTGCCATAGCGTCTATATATAGTGCTAAGCTACGCCCTAAAAGGCTTGGGCCCAAAATACATAATTGACAGATAATTAAGGGCCCAATTCAAGGCATTCAACAACTTATTCAGAAACTGTCACTTCTCAACTCGTTTAATGTACTAGTGTTAAGTTCTGCATCTCCTGCTCCTTTCTGTTTGTAGCGGGTCCGATTCAAGGCATTCAACAATGTTTAAGGACACAAGATCAAAGAACAATTTTGTACATTTGACCTAACTTTAATTAAGGACCTTAAGATTCAAAAGTCTTCTTTATACTCTTAAACTTCGTGACAAGTCAAACCAGGTCATTCTTTGTGAATCAGAGGGAATATTTTTTTCTTTCGGGCTAATGAATTAAGGGTGACAAAAGAGTTTCAAAATGAAGAAAAAGTGACACAAGTTTTAGTTATTGAGTAGAGGTGACAATTTTAAGATTAGTGCTAATGACACTAATTTTAAAACCCTCAAGTTTTATTATTTTCATTAAAACCCTATCCCCCCTCCCACCACACCATCCCTCCTCACTACTTCTGCCGCTGCCATTTACTCCCCATCTGTTGTAACCATCGCCATCACTACTTCCTCCTCTACCACAACCATCAGTTCTTGCTCCATTGCCACCACTCTCTTATTCTTCCTCTTTTACCACCATTGTTGCCACCTCCTTATACTTTCTGCCTTCACAATAATCATCACCTTCCACCTTCATTGTTATCACCAACATCCCATTTGCCTCTCTACCTCCCTCTCTTTTATCTCACTGAAGAAACTTCAACAATTGCTACAATAACTTCAACAGTTGCTGAGCAAACTTTGGCAGTTGTTGAACAAACTTCAATATTTGCTAGAATAACTTGAACATTTATAGCAACAACTTCAGCTATTGCTTGATTTTCTTAAACGAAACAAATACTTCAACTTCAAAAAATTTAAAATTAAAGCAAATTAGTTTGTGAAATAGAACCAACAAGAGAAAAAGATAATACGTGATAAAATATAATAAACAACAACGATAACGACAATAAAGAAGAACAAGTATTCCCTCCGTTTAAAAAAAGAATGATCCTATTTCCTTTTTAGTCTATTTAAAAAAGAATGACCCCTTTCCTTTTTTGGCAACACTTTAACTTTAACTTTGCACGTGACATGTTTAAGACCACAAGATTAAAGAACGTTTTGATACATTTGACATAACTTTAATTTATAACCACAAGATTAAAAAATCTTCTTTCTTTTCTTAAACTCCGTTCTAAGTCAAATTAGATAATTCCTTTTGAAACGGAGGAAGCAAATGAAAGAAGAGAAAAAGAAATGAAGAAGAAGAAATCTAGAAGAGAAAGAAAAAAAGGAAGAAGAGAGAAGTAAATTTTGAAAGAGATTTTAAATTTGAAATTTAAGAAAGAGAGAAATTTTTCAAGCATTTGAGTTTATTTTGAATGTTTTTAAAAATTAAAAAAATTTAAATATTACATTTTAAACACCAATTATCTTAATCACTTATTTAAAAAAATTTGACTTGATTAATTTTATTTTTATCATCAATTTTAATTTCCAACACTTTTTTTTTAGCACTTCTCTTAAAATTTTATTTTTTGGGCGGGTAGATACCCTAAATTGGGAGCTGAAGCTATCACCATTTGTTACATTCAACTTGCATACCGCAATTTATACTTGAATGTTTGATTATTCTCAAATCGCACTCTTCTATTACGTTTCTCCTCTCAATTTCTGCTTGCCTTTCAGTCCTTTGTGCTGTCACTCCCCTACATATCTGATGTCTGAAAAGGAGTATCAGTCTGTGAATTAATATCAACATATATATTATACTAATAAAGAGTAATGGAAGGGAGACGAGTTCGACGGTTTGGAAGATGGCGAAGCAATCAGACTCTACTACCTGTGCGCGTCAATCGACTATCTAACGCTGTGTCATGTTGGTATGAGATTTTTTTTTTATATCCTGGCATTTAAGAGTGTTTTACGAGGTTGAAGTTGTTGGCGCTGAGTTATTAGCCATCCTTTTTTGAAGTTTGCAGGTATTGTGACTGCAAGTCGTCAATATTGAATGAACCCTTGTTTCGTTTCGGACGAAGATATTCAAGGTGTCCTTTTTAAAACAATTCTAATTGATATGCTCATGCTTTTTCAAGGTCCTTTTTACCCAATTTATGTAATTCCTTGTATTTCTTCTTACACTTTATACTTAATTTCTACCTAGTAGCAACTAATGCTCCTTATTTTCAATTACATTTGCTTCTCTACAGAGGTTAATTTGAAAATCTAATTTTGAAGTTTGCCTAACCTATTACAAAATGTTTTTACCATATCTAGGATTTCCTTATGCATATCTTATGTTAAGTTAATTTAAGGAATATTAAATTTGCAAAAGAAGTTTAAGCTATTGATTTGTTGTTAACTAGAGGTGCTCTATGGCTTATGCTCTGAAGTTATTTAGCTTATTCTCAATCTTTGTAACTTTGTTGGTGTAATTTGTAACCTAATGCCCTTTATCTTTCTGGAATTAGAATTAACATGATACACAAATAATTCTGATAAATAATTAAGCAAGACGTTAAGCATATTCCATCTTAACCTTTGTTACCTTTGTCAAAAAAAATAATATTTCCATCTTAACCATAAGTCTATTTCTTAATGCCCATGTTCACGAGCTTGCTATACTCAATCCTATTGCAATCAATTCTCTTTTTCAAGGTCAATTCAAGATTCATAAATAGTAACCAATTGTTGGCCAGTTAATCGAATAATTAAGCACAAGAATTGAATGTATAACTCAATAAGGTATGAATTCATCAAATCAATATCTAGATGTCAAATTTAAGAGTGGACCTTAACCATAGAAATATAGTATAACTACTCATAGTCATGCTCTAATCTCAATACAATCTCAAGGATTCATAAAAAAGGCAAGAAAAGCGGGGGAAAATGATCTTAAAATGAATACTAAGCTTCACAATTTCTCCAATGGCGCCCTTGCGTTCAAAGTGTCAATGGTACCTTAAAATTGCTGGGTTTGTACCTTATATACTTAGTACTAAACATGTTTAGACTAACCCTTCGGGGTGACCCAATGGTTTGGGCTGGACTTCTATGTTGGGAGTCTCAAATTTGAAACCCCTTGCTAGCGAAAGCCATGGGTTTGCCTTCTGAGTCGAGCTTGTCGCACTGGGCTTGCCTGGTGCCGGTTACCTCTCCTATGTGGTTTGCGAGCTATTGCATAGAAACGAGTGTTTTACCTTGTGCACACCCAAATGGTAGCGGCTATGGGTTTCCCTTGTCATAAAAAAAATAAAAACTAAACATGTTTAGACCAAACTGCATTTTGACTTCATGCTAAGCAAATAGGCCATGCATGGCATTAGCTTGTCAGCCGGGAGTCTTGTGCTGCACAACTTCTGCTCCCCGTCATTAGCTCTTCAAGTGCAAAGCTACTTCTTATCCACATGGACTTGTCTACCAATCTTCTCACGGCTGGGCCTGTGTTTCTGTTGCATTAAACTCCGAAGCCTCTAATTTTGTTATGTTCTTCGCTATAATCTCGCCTGTTGAGAGTGTCCTGAATTCTAGAAATTCCATCTTTGACTTCAATTCATCCTAAATTGCTTGAATTTAATAAGAGGACATATTACATGCTTGATAACACTCAAGTTACCCTCTAAACAAGAGAATAAGCTTTATAAAAAAAACAAGTAAGAGAATAAGCGTCGCTAGCAATGAAATTACCCAACAAGAGTCGGGGTCGAAATCCTACTGAGAGTGATATAATGCAAGGAATTCAATTAGGAAAATAAGGGTGTAAACCAATTCATTTGTAGTAATTAAAAGAGATGGGTAGGTGATCCCACCAAATTTACAAAAAGGGTTTTGGTATTAACACAATTATACTAGAATTTGGATTTCAAACGAGTAGAAGACGATCTACGGGTGTGAGGATTGGTATCAATGTCAAGTAGGGGTATTTGTGCTTGCTCATTATCTCTAATCAATCATGGATAGGCTAGGTAATCTTAAATAACACTAATCTTCTTTTGATCTCATAACATCAAATCATAGAATCTCCTTTGGTCCCATCTATGTGAATAAAAAATCAGCTCAATACCTTACTAAAATCCCTCAATCAAGCAGATTTGACTACAAGAATTGAACTACAATTTCTCTTTCAAGCAAATTATATTAAACAAATCTGAATTGCAGGCTTTAAACTAATTACCCACTTCAATTGATCTCTTTCGAGCATCAATTGAAGATCTAGATTAGGATTAAGTTTGCAATCTTAACCATGAATTAACCCCGTGGTAATTAGCTTAAATCCATATTTCTACCTCTATAAAGCAGAGCAAGACACAAACCCACAAAAATAAATCAACATCCACCCCATAATCACACCCCTAGATTTGGGGGTTTAGCCAAGCATCATAAAAGGAAAAGAGAGTATACCCATTATGGTTTCAACCATTGAGAACTTGAAATTAAGCAATAATCCACTTTAAATTGAACCTTCAATTGTCAATTTCAAGGTTGTTCACAAACCCCAAAACTAAAGCGTATTTTCTCTAAGGGTGAAAAGAAAATATTCAAAACTCTTTCTCTAAACTATTATTGAAATGATATTCAAAAAGTCCTCTATTTTCTCTCTTTTGGACTATTTATTATTTCCCAAAATTTGGCCCCAAATTCAATGCGTGACCAACTCGGTGAAATTAGTAGGGATTACCAAACATGTTCGGTGGATCGTCGTTTGTTCCTGAACTCACCCTTCATTTGTTTCAGGATTCAGGTGTTTGAACCTCACTTGGCGGACTCGATCGAGTCGGCCTTTCACGTTTGATGGTTCGCTGATTACCTCCTTGTTCGCCCTTTAAGCCTTCACTTTAATTTACAGTTCTGTTACTTTCGACGATGGTCTTCTAGTTCGCCCATTCAGATTCAGCTTCGGCGAGTTGCTGTTTCTTCTTTTAGTCCGCTGACCTGCCTTGAATATTTTTAATTGTGAGCATTGTCACTTTGGGCGAGGTTAGGCCACTTGGGCGATACACCCTTTTCGTTAGATGATTACCAGTTGGGAATTTTATACTCCTTTCAATGTTTTTGGCCCCTTTTTCATGTATTCATCCTTGCCTTGTCCTTTAGCCTTCATTGCTGCAAAACATCAAAATATCATTAGAATAGGACACAATTAGGCATTGAGGACTTTAATTGTTGAACTAAAAAGGCCTTTCATCAATATAATTCTACCACTCATCAATGCTACATAAATCCGTAGTGAAGCAGCTACACGAGTCAGGGAGCAAATTTTTTATGGGAAGGAAGAGCAAAGTGTTGTACCCTTGATGAATATAACACAAGGATTGATTAACTGAGGGCAAGCCAGATTCTATGTGGTGTGCACTGGCTAACAACTAACAAGGGCAAGTTTTCTGGTAAATCTTGCAACTAGGCCTTAAGCAGTGGAAGAAGAGAAGAACAAAAGACATGGAGAATGTTCTGTAATCTAAAACCTCACTAAGGGTGGTGTGATTACAATATATGGCCTTACATGTTGCATGCTTAACAATTGAAAACCTGCTAAGGAGAGGCTTCAACATACCTAGCAGATGCTGTTTGCGCTATAAAGATTGTGAAATTTCAGCAGACGCCCTAGTGCAGTGTACATTTGTTAAGGCTATTGTAGACATGTTCCTTAACATATTCGGGGTGCAGTGGCTATGCCGAAGACAGTCGGAGCTACTGTTGATAGCTGGCAGTGACATAGAGAGAGAAAAGGGAAGTTGCTGCTTGGAGGACATATTCCTGCTTGCGTTTCTTTGGCTTTGTGAAAAAGAGAAATTACGATATATCGAGCATAAAAGCACAAGCACTTTTCTTGTTTTAGGTGTAGAGTTCTGCAGTATCTGAAGTTTTGGCGTATCCTTTTTTTTTTGCGTTAGATGCTAATTCTAATACCAATTTCATACATTTACTGCAAGTTTTATGTACAAGGAAGATAAAATTGCTGAAAATATGACATACCTACTTATTGCAGTTTAATGTAATTTCTTACTTATCAAAACCAAACCTTTGATGGAGCTTACATTTCTGACATCCACAAGCCCAATGAGGTTGGATCAGAATTACCAACATAACTGCCCTTTTTTTTATTAATAACTGTAGTATACTGGCCAGCTTGCGCGTACCTCAACTAATTCCATGGGATACCTGCTACCTCCCAGCAGCATGTACTAGGTACCCAAGGCTTAGACTGATGGATAAACAAGATTCTAGCTTGTTTTAATTGTTTGTTTGTGTCGGAATCCGTTCACCCTACCAATCCATGGGTTTATGTCATCCCTCACTTGCACATATACCGGGTAACTAAACCCACCAAAGAATTAGATAGATGGGAAGATTTCATATCGTGTGGCCTTTATTGGGACTCAAACCTTGGATGGCAAGGTTGTTATGCCACTCTTCAACTGCTAGACTAGCACCTCGGGGGGTTTTGGACCATGAAAGCTTATATGTCATGAACTTGAACCTCTCTGTAATTAGGTGTTATCAAAAGCGCGCTTTAAGCATGCTTAAGCCCTGAAGCGAGGCTCAAAATGTATTGAGCGCTTCGCCTCGCTTTATGTTCGCTTCAGTGTCGTCCTCAAGGTTCTAAGACAAACTTTTCCTTGACAATGAGCCTCTTATGAATAATTGACACGAAACAATTGATAAATCACTTCATAACTAAAAAAAATTCAATTTATTGGTCATATATTTGTCATAATGTTTATAATTATTAGTTTTGGACTCAAGATATATATTTATATTTTTTCTCCCTTTGCGCCTTTTTTAATTAAAGCCCACGCTTTAATTGCACTTTGAGCTTAGAGCCCCCACGGACCTTAGAGCTTTTTTGCACTTTTCGCCTTTGATAACACTACTCTGTATTTGTCTATAGGAGCGTGTTTTAATTATATTCTTCACAACTTTTACCTTTTTTCACTTATAGAGGCTACTGTTTGAGGTCAGTTTTATGTCTTGATAAGTGACTACATTTGTTGCAGGTTCTTGAAAGCTTGGTTCTCAATGGGTGTTGGTTTTAGTCTCGCTGTTTTAT